AAAATTTTTTTTTTTTTTTTTTTTTTTTTTTTTTTTTTTGGAGAGGCTTTTGCTATAGGGCGTGTGCGCTCACCAGAAAGACAAGAGACAGACAAAGAGATAGAAAGCAGCCATGCCGCAATCCCTTCTCCTCCATTCTCCTCTTGGGATCTTGGGCATGCACACAGACGCGTCCAGCGTGAATTAAAGCCACCGGGTCCAGGACTCGAACCATGATCTGCTACATGGGAGTCCAGCGACATAGCCATTACACTAAGTGCTGGTCCCTGAAATTCTTTCTTCAATTTAGCTATTTTTCTAAAAGATGTTTGTATCAAAGATGTTTAGGCTTATTATATGATCCTTAATATAATTTCATGCATTTTGAAATATAATTTGACAGCAGTGCATTCTAATCCTGAAGTTTTATTTTCTGTTTTCTAGGAAATTGGAGAGTTGCTACAAACAAGGGGTAGAGAGTTTGGTGTAACTACTGGAAGGAAAAGAAGATGTGGCTGGTTGGACCTTGTTTCACTCAGATATGCTCATATGATCAATGGATTTACTGCGTGAGTGTTCTTCAGAAATATTTACTTCAGTGAATTGTAGGACAGTTTATGACCACAGGTTTAATTTTTACTCTTTAGCCTCCAGATTCAAATTACAGTTCCAGGCAGAAGTAGATCAAGATAGAGCAGAGAGGGAACAAGGAAAGGGACACTAGATTTGCTTGCTATACATCCAGGGTTGGTAGAAAAGAATCATGATACTCTTACATGTATGCCAGTGCAGAGAGAGGCAAGGTAGAAGGTAGGCAGGCAGACAGGTGGATGGGTAGCTAGAAAGGTAAATTAGCAAGCACAGTATGCACAGAGGGGAGGTAATCCAGCCTACTGATTTAGTGCCTGCACTTAATGTCTGAATTTCTGGATTTATATCTTAGATCAATGCTTTTTACATTTGTGTGATTGGGTGCCCATGGGAGGGGTGCAACTGTATGTAAATAAATGTATTTATAGCCACATTAGACTGAACTTCTAATAACCTAGTAATCGAATAAAAGATAAAAATTATGAACAAGAATTCCAAACCTAGTGTTTTATCTAATTTCTAGATTTTCATTTTAAAAGCTATTTTCCGATCAGTGTATGGGGAAATTTGGATGTGTCATGAAGAAACCTTTTATGTGGTTTCCTCACTCTTTGACAATTTCTGACGAGAAGGGTGGAGGTGTTGGTAACCAGAATAAAGAACTGAGGGATGATGGCATGTATTAATGTACATGTATCTATGGTCATCCAGGTGAAATAGTGAGTTCTTCTGTGTCCCCTGGCCACAGAGTGCATCTTTAACTCTAAGCAGCCCTCCCACAATTAAGTGTTTTTACCATTTTAAGAAAGCTCAGCAAGAGTGTGCATCCATCAGAGAAAATCTGTCACAGTGACTAGAAAAATAAATCAATGATGGGTCGTTGAGTCATTTTTTATTATGAAGAATAAATTATGTATACATCAATATATTGTCCTCTAGTGTTTTATGTGTGGCATGTTTTAAAACATAATCCTAACCAGTTTTCAGAATTGCTTTACAACTTTTGGCTTTGTATACATTTTCCTTTACGCCTGAATCGGTCAAATTAGATGTTAGAGCCTTTAAGAGTTTGCTATTTTAACATTACCTTTTCTTCCAAAATTAGGTTGGCACTTACCAAGTTGGATATTTTGGACATGTTTACAGAAATCAAAGTTGGAGTTGCCTATAAGTTAGATGGTGCAATCATACCTCATTTCCCAGGTACTTTTAAAAGGCTATTTCTAAAGAGTATTATAAGATATAACAGCAATTTCATAAAGCTTTTCTGTATTCTTTGTACTATATAGCCATGGCCTTGATATACCATTGGTGAATAATGCAGCTATGCTCACTTAGGAGCATTTGACTTATGGCTGCTGTTTATTTGGGCCCAGGATCACAAGTATGGACTTAAACTCAAAACAGGAAAGAAAAAAACATGTACTCCTGAACCCAGCTATGCCTCCCCCAGTCTCATCTTTCTTGTTTTGAAAGTAACTTCCATAGATGTATTTTTCTCTTTCTTGGAGAGGTGTGAGAAAAGAGCCCTGCTTGTCATAGAAACTGGCATTCAATACAGGTCCTCTTTGATTTAAGATGAATTACATCTAGATAAGCCTAGAATAAGTCAAAAGTATTGAAAGTTGAATATATGAGCTCTTTTAAGGCAGCCGGATTCCACATGGCCAACAGAGCTGTTCCAGTACCAGACCTAGTGGCTTCAGAAGTAAACCAGGTACATGTACATACATACCCAAAATTTGGGAGGGAGGGAGAGATGAAGGAGAAGTGATTGTGGTGTGACCATTCTCAGTGGGGGTGCTTTTTTGTCTTCCTTTCTCTTTGCAAAGGGTACATGCCCTCTAGCCAAAAACAAAGAAAATGCGTTTAACACACCTAATCTATTGAACGTCATAGCTTATCTTAGCCTACTTTAAATATGCTTAGAATACTTATAGTAGCCTATAGTTGGCAAAAAGCATCTAATACAAAGTTGCTTTGTTTTAGGTTTTTGCCATAGGGTACATGCGCTCACTGGAGAGAGACAGAGAAAAGGAAAGTAAGAAATCACTCCTCAGTGGGGATGACCACAATTCTTTCTCCATTCTTTCATGATTGGGAGCATGCATGCACATGTGCCCAGCATGATTTTCAAGCTACTGGATCTGAGACTCAACCTGGGTAGGCCATCACAAAACCTGTTGAATACTATTTTGAAAGTGGAAAACACAGTGGTTATATGAGTGCTTGAAGTATGTTTTCTTTCAAATGTATATACCATCATGAAGTCAAACATTTTAAGTAGAATATCATAAGCTGTGGACCATCTATATATTAACCTACCCTTCCACCCAGAAGCCCCATGGATGTTTTTGTCTAACCTCTATTTTTTGTCTAAAGTAGATAGATGCAGGGAGACTTCCTGTTTGAGTAATTGTATTTTTTTTCAGGCATATCTCTAGTTTATATAATTTTGTTTATTACTCAGGAAGTTCATAAATGTTTCCAGTTCCCAGAAATAGGAACTTTTTTTTTTTTAGCTTAGTCATCTGTTAAGGACTGGAAATATTTCAAATGAAGGAGTATTGACTACAGTAGCTTAATGAAACTTGATAGGCTGGTATGTTTTGTGACTTATGACCAGTCCTTGGGCTGGTAAGTTTTTATTTTTTATTTTTTTTAAGTTTTTGCTATAGGGTGTTTGTACTTGCTGGAGACAGACAAAGAAAGGGAAAGTAAGAAATCACCCCCTGGTGGACACAATGCAAACCCTCTCCTCCATTCTCTGTTAGGATTTTGGACACACATGCACATGTGCCTTATGTGATTTTCAAGCTGCTAGGTCCAGGGCTCAAACAGTGATCAGCCATGTGGGATTTTAATGTTAACCGCTGGCTGACCCACTGAATTGTCTTAATTAATATTAGCTATGCTTTTTGTTGTTAGGCCAATATCTGGGTTTCTCAAATTTGGTTTGTCTTGAATTTTCTTTGCTTGTGGATCACTCTTTCTGTGCCTGATAACTTTCGATTCAATATTGGACATTGTGTTGTGAAGACTATTCTGTTACCTTCTTCTGAATAATATTGATTCTTGTTTTAGGGGACAATGGAATTATTGGTTGATCATCTTGAGCTTGTATCTGCTTTGTAGTATAGTTCTGTGGAAAGCCCAAAATGTTCTCCAATCCGCTGTAGCTTGGTGTGAGTCACTCTCTCCCTGTGGATCTTGGCAGAGCTAAGATTTTAGGCTTCATTGTGGAAGGTCTGTAGTAGGTTTCATTAAAGGGTGTGGTTCTTTCTGGTGTTTCATCTAGGTGCCAGGAGAGTTAATGGATGCCAGGTGTAATAATAAGATCTCTCCAATCCAGCAGCTCTCTGGTCCAATGTAGCTTGTCCCTTCCTTTCTACTAGTATTGCTTAACTGCTGGAATCTTTGTCTCATCCTCAATATTGTAGTGTCTGTTGTCTCGTAGGCTTCCAGTGGTCTGCTCTTTGCATGTACAGTCCAACCTTAGCTATGACTGTCATGTGTATTCCTGGTGAGATCCTGTCTCTTCAGCTTCTTTTCTAATGCCTGGTCTTGCTAATTCTAGATGCTTCAACTTCCTTGAATCTGACTACTTTATCTGGTCCGTGAAACTGTCAGGAAAATCATTCCTAGGCAAAGTCAACTGGTTTCAAGATTTTGTGAGTTTTCTTTCTCTCAGGAACCACAGTCTTGTGTGGCCTCTTATCCACTGCCTGAAAGAAAATACAGTTTAAGAGCTAGTCCGCATCTACATATTGTGGCTAGATATATTATGACATCATTGCTAGAAATGGAAGCTCCATTTGGTTTTGGTTTATCTACATAGTGTGATTCATCACTTTGTCTAAGCTTCTAAGAACATTCCCAGGAGTATTTCTGTGTTATGCATCATAGGCGGGTACTTTTATACCAGTATACTCTTTTTTGCTTTAGCATCATGTTCTACCACCTTTTGCGCCTTTGATCTTGCACCCTCAGAATCTAGTTCCTTATGTACTCTCTTGGTACCTTCTGGTAAATGCTGGCTTATTCCTTCAGCTCTTACAGGTCTAGCACATCCTTGACCAAGTTAGACTGGGACTTGACCCTCAGTATTACGGGCTGGTATGGAGGGGAAAGGTAAAGGTAGAGGGTAGATCTGAGAGGGGCACTTGCTACCTTGCAAGACAAAGCTCGATCTTCAAGCGAGAGGAAGAACCTTAGCCTTAAATAGGATATAGTGGTATAGTCTTTAGGCTCAGAGAGTTTGGTGAATCTGAAGAATCAGGATTTCGAGTCTCAAGGGTTTCACTTGTCCCCAAACAGGGCTTCGGCCTTGTCATAGCAGACTTGCTGAATTGAGAATTCAACATTCTCTAGAGTTCTGTTGTCTGTATGATTGACTTCCAAACCAGATCATCATCTCTTCCTGCTCTCAGAGATGAGATTTTCTCTAGCTGCTGCCAGGAAGTCCCTTTGTCTTTCATTGTCTTTTTTTCCGCTTTTTGAAAACCATTCAAGAGCCATCGAATTCCATTGTTCCATTGTGCTCATTTATCAATGCCTCACATATTTCCACTGTTTTACTTTCTACCAGTATGGTCTCCTAGTTCACCTCCCACTGCCTCCTAGTTTTAACAGTTGTACTACTGCAACGTGTCCGAGGCTCTCCATACTCTACCTACAACCACTACACTTGCCAGGCAGTTGGCCAGTGATATAGCTCTTAAGTTCCCATTTTAGGACCTTCGGCACTGCTGGCACCAACTGTTTGAGTTCAAGTTCCCAGGAAAACAGACAGATACAGAGATTTGCAGAATTAGTTTGTTTAAAGTGCTCAGAGCACCAAAATGTGAGGAAGAGAGGGAATTAAGCAGTTACTAGGCAGAGGGAGAAATTGAACAGCAATAAATTGAGTTTTCTTTCTCTCAGGAACCACAGTCTTGTGTGGCCTCTTATCCACTGCCTGAAAGAAAATACAGTTTAAGAGCTAGTCCGCATCTACATATTGTGGCTAGATATATTATGACATCATTGCTAGAAATGGAAGCTCCATTTGGTTTTGGTTTATCTACATAGTGTGATTCATCACTTTGTCTAAGCTTCTAAGAACATTCCCAGGAGTATTTCTGTGTTATGCATCATAGGCGGGTACTTTTATACCAGTATACTCTTTTTTGCTTCAGCATCATGTTCTACCACCTTTTGCGCCTTTGATCTTGCACCCTCAGAATCTAGTTCCTTATGTACTCTCTTGGTACCTTCTGGTAAATGCTGGCTTATTCCTTCAGCTCTTACAGGTCTAGCACATCCTTGACCAAGTTAGACTGGGACTTGACCCTCAGTATTACGGGCTGGTATGGAGGGGAAAGGTAAAGGTAGAGGGTAGATCTGAGAGGGGCACTTGCTACCTTGCAAGACAAAGCTCGATCTTCAAGCGAGAGGAAGAACCTTAGCCTTAAATAGGATATAGTGGTATAGTCTTTAGGCTCAGAGAGTTTGGTGAATCTGAAGAATCAGGATTTCGAGTCTCAAGGGTTTCACTTGTCCCCAAACAGGGCTTCGGCCTTGTCATAGCAGACTTGCTGAATTGAGAATTCAACATTCTCTAGAGTTCTGTTGTCTGTATGATTGACTTCCAAACCAGATCATCATCTCTTCCTGCTCTCAGAGATGAGATTTTCTCTAGCTGCTGCCAGGAAGTCCCTTTGTCTTTCATTGTCTTTTTTTCCGCTTTTTGAAAACCATTCAAGAGCCATCGAATTCCATTGTTCCATTGTGCTCATTTATCAATGCCTCACATATTTCCACTGTTTTACTTTCTACCAGTATGGTCTCCTAGTTCACCTCCCACTGCCTCCTAGTTTTAACAGTTGTACTACTGCAACGTGTCCGAGGCTCTCCATACTCTACCTACAACCACTACACTTGCCAGGCAGTTGGCCAGTGATATAGCTCTTAAGTTCCCATTTTAGGACCTTCGGCACTGCTGGCACCAACTGTTTGAGTTCAAGTTCCCAGGAAAACAGACAGATACAGAGATTTGCAGAATTAGTTTGTTTAAAGTGCTCAGAGCACCAAAATGTGAGGAAGAGAGGGAATTAAGCAGTTACTAGGCAGAGGGAGAAATTGAACAGCAATAAATTGGGTTGTTGGAAAAGTTATAACATATTTTTGCAGAGAAAAACATATGAAAAATATATCAAAATTTTTCAGACAACCCAATAGTTGCATAAGAAACCCTTAGATGATCCTGTGGGGACCTTTTTTTTCTTTTTTTTTTTTTTTAGAGAGGTTTTTGCTATAGGACACGTGCACTCGCAAGACAGACAGAGAGAGAAAGAGAGACAGAAAGCAAGAAATCACCCCCAGGGGGCATGGCCATGCCGCAATCCCTTCTCCATTCTCCTCTCGGGATCTTGGGCACGCATGCACACGTGCCCAGTGTGAGTTTAAGCCATCAGGCCTGGGACTCGAACCATGGTCGACTACGTGGGAGTCCAGCGATATAACCATTGCACTAACTGCTGATCCCCCTCCTGTGGGGACCTTTGAAGCTAGATTGGCGTTTCAGAATTGTCCCAAATTAAGGTAAGTGGCTAGGTTCTTTGTAGTCCCACAGTGACAAGTCATGGAATGTGGGCTGCTCTGGAGCAGTAGCTCCCTTCAGTGGAGAGTGAGTCCTGGGGAGGTTCTGAGCTGAGTGATCAGCAGGCAATACTGCCACAATGCTCAGTCCTGAAGAGGGAAATCTGGATGGTGAGTATATGATAGCGTCTGCTATAGTATCCCTTGTTAAAGAAACTGTTCTTAATTATTTATAGTGCATTTTCAATTTCCATTAAGGGGTACGGAGTTAGAATAATAAAGAAAAATTCAATCAAAATAATAGAAAATTTCTCAGAAGAGAGCAAGTATGCAAATCTTTCTGTGAGGTTATAATTCAGAACCACAAACCACAATCAATTTTATAGAAATCCAAAGAGCTCTAAAAATGGAACGTTTTAAGTTTGGAAACAAAACTCACTTGGTAGCCAAACCTGACTCAAACTGATGTTAGAACTAGATAATCTTTATTCGCTCGTAGTGAATGATCATATGCATTGCTGCAAAAATACATGAAATACTAGCCCAGATGGTATGTATATTATCTTTTTAAACCTGAAAAATTCTAAATTCCAAAATACATCTGACTCTAGGATTTTGATAAAAGGTTGTAAATCTATGGTATATCAAAAAGTTGTTTGATAATATATACCATGAACAAATAAATATCTTCTTTAACTTTTAGCAAACCAAGAAGTCTTAAATAAAGTTGAAGTTCAGTATAAGACTCTCCCAGGCTGGAACACAGACATATCAAATGCAAGGACTTTTAAAGAACTACCTGTTAATGCACAAAATTATGTTCGATTTATTGAAGATGAACTTCAAATTCCGGGTAAATATAAACGTCCCTATCCTTGAAATAGATAAAGAGATGGTTATTTTGTAGAACACTCATAATTTACGTAAATACCAAGGAAGATAGAAAGTAACTTTATTCTATACAAAAGTATATGCCATATTCACCTGTAAGTAAAAGATAGTGGGTTACCTTTTATTTTTCTGATCCTGTCTTTAATTCTGTTAATCTCTTTTTTACCCTGTAACATTTGTTCTCTTTACTTTCCCTCTCTTCATAACAAATCCTTTTGTATCTTCTCCACCACTGAAAGAATGGCTTAAGTTTTTTTAATTTTTGTTTTAGTTGGGTTAACACCCTTAAGAGTTGTGGGAGTTTCTTGGGTAGGTTAGAAAATGATAGGTACAGGAAATAGGAAATTCTATTAGAAAAAATACGAGAAGAATAAAGAACAGATAAAACTTCATTAAAAACCAAATATAAAATGGCAATGGAGTTAGGTATAAAGAAGTTATGGCTTTATGTAGTTATGTGAAGTCTTCTTTTTAACAGATTGCTTTTTCTTTTTATCTTTTTGTTTGCATTGGTGGAAATCTCAGAGATCAGAAAACAAAGTGGGTGGGAGAGTGTCTATTATGTACTTGTTAATGATTTTGTATTGAGGTTCATTTTGGACATGACTTGTTTTCCAGATCGCTAGTTGCCCTTCCCAGCTTGATGTCAATCTAAGTAGGGATATTTACTTATTGCTGTCAGTCAACATTTTTTGAAATATATAAAGCAGTAAATCTAAACATGACCTCTGTAAAATCCTGTAAAGTTTTATCCTTACAGTACCTCATGTAACCCTGTGTGATTTTATGAATAACTTAAATCTATGCAGTATAGATGACTAGTCCTATAAATTGGTACTAGAGGTAATTCCTAAGATTTTGCAAGTTCATCATATTTTCTTCTAGATATTTCTACTTTTTTTGAAATATAAAAGTTAAAGTTCTCCTTTAGCATCCTCATAGCCTCATCCATTTATCAAAAATGCTATCTTTTCTAGTTATTAGGAACTTGATCAGAGGTTCTATGGATCTGTGCTGGTGTGAACCAGTATTTTACCGTCCTAATTGTTAAGAATTAAGAAATTATAAATATCATGCAGTTAAATCAAGGAAGAATAAAGCATACTATCCTGTGCTGAATTGTGATTGCACATACTGTTTAGAAACAGACACAGTCCACAATAGAACAGCAAAAATGTCACATAGGGAAAAAGTGAATGGTGAGACTCAGAAGAGTGGGGGCTACCTATCTTTTAATCCCAAAGATTGAACATTAAAAACAAACTGATGCTATTCTTACTCTCTTTCTTCTCCCAGTTAAATGGATGGATGGCTGTTGTGGGGACAGACTTTGGCGTACTCCAGGGCCAGCTTTCATTAGCTGGCATAATTGCCAGATCATTCGTTGCTCCTGCTGCTCATGGTGCCACATTTTCTTTTAATGTTTAGTGATAATATAGTCTGTGTTGTTTGAAATCTACAGTAGAATTACTTTCAATGTAGTTTTTCTTCATTATTGTCATTGTGTGTTCTTAGACTTTACCCCTTATTAAGATAAGAACAATTAATGCAGTTTTGCACAAATATTTTTACATTCTGATCATTCAATTCCATCATTGTAATCTTTGCTGTTAGAAAAAATTATGAAAAGATAGGGGTTCTGCAAATTTCTGTAATGTTAGGAATTTTGTTTGAATTGTAAACTGTTTAATTTCTGCTGAGACCATTGCAAAATTGAGCTTTGGCTTTGGGTGGGAGAGGGTGGTATATTCATGGGTCTTCTAATTTGTATAAAACATAGAGCTTATTTCTCTCTGTAAATTATTTAATACATTGAGCATTTAATTAAATGTTCATGGAGTAAAAATGTTTCCCATAAAAATGATCTTAATGTTGAAAAAAATAGTCATTAAAAGATCTATTGTGATATTTGGTGATATTTTTATTTAATTTCAGACATTAAGTCTGAAATGTTTATCTTTTTTGTTTTATCTTACCATTATTTCTAAATCTAGTGGGTTGACATTTCAACATTGTGCCTGCCAGTATGCCTACAAAATAATCTATAAGTGTCAAAATGAACTCAGATTGTTGACCATAATTTTAAATCATGCCTTTATTTCTCTCTACTTGGGGAAAAAAAAAAGGTGTTATTTTATTTTGACAGTTAGGCTTATCATGTTGTGTTGTAGATTACCTTTCAATGAACTATTTTAATGTTTAAATTAGGTGCCACTTAAATTTATTTTATTACCACAAATAGCAGATTAAAAAGAACCAAATATTTCTAGTATGCTTTGTGTATTGTGTTTTTGTTCTGATACGATGAGCAATAGTTAGTAGTATCATACTATTATATAGGAAGGAGCTACATCTCTGCAGTGTGGGGATAAGATGAGAGAGAGAAAAAAATCAGATCTTTGGAAGGGTATAAATACCTTTTATTTTCACTATCTATGTTTCTATTAATACTTGGTTCAGGAGAAATTCTAAAATAGGAGCTGCCTCACTGGATTCAATCAATAAAGAACAATATAGGTGAACCTGTAAGCCAACTACTGATCAATATTGACCTGTATGTAAAAACTAGTTTATATTTAATATATGACAAGTCATTTCTATTTATTTTAATGGAAATTGAATGGAATTTTTTTTTTTTTTTTTTTTTTTTTTTTTTTTTTTTGGGAGGGTATTTTTTTCTTGTGCTTGCCAGAAAGAGACAGAGACAGAAAACCAGAAATCACCTTCCAGGGATATGGCCACACTGCAATCCCTTCTCCATTCTCCTCTCAGAATCTTGGGCATACACACACACGTGCCTGGGTGTGAGTTTGAGCCACCGGGTCTGGGACTTGAACCATAGTTGACTACATGGGAGTGCAGCAGCATAGCCATTTTACCAACTGCTGGTCCTGGAAATTGAATGGACTTTTAAAGTTCACTTTCTTGTCTATAAGCATTACATTGAAACATATTTTTAGGGATGATTCAGAAGCAGATACAAAGAACTTATCTCCTAAGTCAGACGTGTCCCCCCTTTTACCAAAACAGTCTTCTAGTGATAGACATAAACTTACTTTAAACCAGTTTGGGTGATTCTCTCTGCTTCTTTTTTGTAATGTGCTGTTAACTGGGTTGGTTAAGAGAGATGTCTATTCTTTAGGTCTTTCAAGTTATTGATAATCGATTGAAATAGAATATTACTGAAGAAATCTATGCCAGATTCTGCTAGGTATTGAGTATGCCACAGTTATAGGTAAGTATAAGTTGTCCTGTAATTTTTGTAATGAGGACAGCATGATAAACATGTATTTATAAATGTGCTACAATGGGAAAGTATAGGGTGCAGTAAATGAGAACATAATCTAAATTTAGAAAGGGTCAGAGAATGCCTTTAGTGAAAATAGTGTTTAAACAGACCAGCTAGACAAGAAAATAATGTGCAAAGGCTTGAAAGGATCCAAAGTTGGAGCAACTAAACAAAATGAGCAAGGGGCTGATGAGGATGATGAGGCTCGTAGTAAATTTGAGGAATACTAAGCCAAACAACAAAACGTGTTTCATGTGAAAGAACTGTAGGCCAAAACGTATAGGCCATTCTGAACCAAATAATGTAAACTCTAAATTTTAAACTTAGTAGGTGGAATTAGAGGGGAAAAAAAGGTACAGATTTGACCAAATCAAGATTTTTTAAAAATTAAGAATGAAGTTAAAAACTCAAAAAACAAAAAGCAAACTTTGGAAAAAGCATTTCAACATAAGTTCCTAATATGTAGTTTCTATAAAATAAAAAAACCTAACAATGGGCAAAAGTATACACACACACACCCACACACACACAGACATTCCACAGAAAAATAAATGTAAATGGTCCAGAGCATGAAAAGGTATCTACCTTCCTTTATAGAAGGAAAATATTAATAGTGAGATACTCTTTTTATTTCCCAGGTCAGTGAATATGAAAAATTATTGCTACCAAGGATATGGAGAAAAAGGCATTTATATATACTGCTAGTGGAAATGTGAATTAGTAAGGCTTTTTTGGGGGGGAGCAATTTGGCAGTATTTGTTAAAATTTGTATTAGCCAATTCTTTGACCCCTCTTAAGCAATCATACAAAAGACAGAAAGTATTAGTTCACATGTAATTGGAAACAAAGTGAATATGCATTAATAACATAAGATGATATTCTACGAAACCTTCACAAAACATTTAATTTCTCTATATGGATTATAAAGATGACCACAATATTTTAACATGTGAGCACAACAAATTTTGTATAGTGAGTGTGACACCATTTGGAAGGAGAGGAGGAGGAAGAAAATTTAAAACTACATTTCTTTATCTAAACCAAGTGTAAAAATATTTAAGAGTATATATCAAACAGTTGTCATCAGAGAGGACTTTGAGGTTTTTCCTGTACACTTTTATATTGATAGTTATATTTTTAAGAGCATATAACTTTACATTTAAAAAAAAATAAAACGTGTTTGTTTGTTTATTTGTTGTCATTTTCAAGCCACCAACCAGGTCAGGGACTTGAACAGAGGTCAGATCTGTGAGAAGGCAACACCTTAATCACCATGCCAACTACTGGTTTGACTAACACCTCACGGAACTGGAGCAAGTTTCTCCAGGAGGCTGCATATGTTCTGAATTAGTGTCCAACATGGGCCGTTTCTCCAATAACTAGGATACACAGTTCTAGGAATGGAGGAGTGGAAATGGGACTGTATGACTCCCCATTACCCCTAGTGGTTCATTAGCAAAATGTTTGCATTCTGTTCCTATGACTTTATGGTCTACCAGACTAAAATTCTCATTTCCAGAGGGAGGAAAATAGTAATTCTATAGAACTGGAGGTTAAGACTACCACCTGACCACTTTGAACTCCTCATACTTGTAAGTCAAAAAGCTGAAAGGAGAGTTAAAAGTGGTTGGGTGGTTAATTGGGACTACCAAGGGGAAATTGGACAACTGCTC